GGTTGATATCGATAAAATAAGAACATCGCTAAATATCGATATCGATGATTTGAAGGATGTGTGCTTGCAATCCCTAAGCTATGTTTTTTTTTATTTTATCACTTATCTGTCAAAATGGGCGACTGCAGCGCCAAAAGGCATAGTTGGGAAACTTGACTAAAAGTCACTGTCGTATCTGTAGCTTGCTACATATATATTTATCTATGCAATAACATGACAAAATGGCGGCAGCGGGAAGGGGCAAGAGATGGGAGGGACGAGGGAAACGTCATGTTCTGGATTGCTCACTGCATTTCACACGGTCAAAGATTTTTGCCCAAAGATTACCAGCCGTGACTTTGATTACGGACAAAAAAGCAATATGGCTGCCACAGACTAATCATAGATAAATAAATATGTAGGGACTAATTAGTAGATTCTACCCGAAATGGCTGCGAGCTGCGACCAATCTCCTAGTTAGTATGTACTTAGAAGATTCGTGTAGAATCTACTAGTTAATCTGTGATTAGAAGGGATGTCGAGGGACGAGGGGGTTAACTGTCATATATCATTTTGCTATGACATTTCCTATGTCCAATATTTTATCTATGAAGATTACTGCCCGTGTTCTGTATTGGAAGAAGATTTCTATAGAAAGAAAATCAACATGGGCAATTTTTTTCCTTCATTATATTCTACCTCAAAATCAAAGGCTTGCAAAAACGCCCGATGTAAACGGGGTATTAGATCTATAGCTCTATAGTTAGAACTATAGCTCTTGAAGACTTCAACGAGTTACAATCAGTTACTACTGTAAATGATCTACCGTACAAATAATGTCGAAAATGTTTAACCGAAGTCACTACCGCTAATGTTTCCGACTGTATTAGAATGAAGTTCTCTATAGTAAACGTAGTGATTATATTCTCTTTGCTCTATAGTCTACACATATGCGGACTGATCCATCACACTTATTAACTAACAAAATAGGACTAGAGAAAGGAGATTTGTTTGAACGAATGAAACCCGCTACTAAAGGTTTATTACACTTATTACGAACAATTTCACGTTCTTCTATACTTAAATGATAGACTCCTCCGCACAATTTTATTAGGATCTACTAATTTTATTTCTACTTCTCCCGTTTTTACTCTACTAGTTGCCGTTCCCTCGACAAACGACTACAAAACTATGAAGAATTTCCCTTAAATTATAAATAGAACGATTTTCAATATCAGTGTCGATATTATCAAATGTAGTTACAGCCCTACCTACTTCGCAAATATTAACGACGCTAGACTTGTTAACTCCGGATGAAGTTTACTATAAAACCTAGCCCTAATAAATCACGTCCAAAAATATATCATTATTCAAATATTTATTGAATGTGAAATAATATTTCTATGCTGTAGCCGCAGTTACAATTAAAAAAATTGTGATTTACATATTACTTGAGACTTGCCTACACCAACAATGGTGATGATAGCATGCTGTAATTTGCCAGACAATTTGTTGGCTGTAGTTTCTCTAATAAGGGAACACCCAGCTCCGGAACCAAATTAAAATGAAAATGCCTTAATGCATCGAAATTGCCCTTAGAAAAGTGATGATCACTGTTTGGTGGTTTAGCGCCGGTGTAATTCATCACAGCTTTTTACCAAACGGGACGAGCATTATTGCAGATGTGTACTGTGAAGAATGTCTCCAACACATCATCCAGGACACAATGTCTCCTCCAACCAGCGTTGGTTAATCGCTCGTCCCCGCTGCTCCTGCACAACGCGCGACCTCATACTGCACAACAGACGGTCCCCAAGTTACAAGAGCTGGGGTTGGAAGCTCGCCATCCTCCGCCGTACCAGACCTTGCGCCTACAGACTTTTTCCAGAATTTGGATAACTTTTTGGCGGTAATAAAATTCCATACTCGAGACGCAGTACAAAATGCCTTTGAAGAATTTGTTGCCACCCGACTAGCTGATTTCGTCGAGAAGGGCGTCAAAAAACTGCCACTGCGTTGGCAAAGATGCATCGATTGCATGGGTAATTACTATGAATAATAGAAATAAAAAAAATATAGAAAAAATTACTTTAACTTATTTCATAAAAAACGGCAAATTCATAGGTAAAGACCTAATATATGTTGTTGACCGAAATTTGCTGGACGTTAGAAAAGTAGAATGTAAAACATTAGCCAAATACAAAAATTCATTCAAATTAAAAGGTTTTTAAAAACCAATTACATATGATAAGTATTTAAATGGGATAAAATGAAATACGCAACATACGAGTACATATTTACACCTTTAATTATTTAAATTTATCACATAAATATGTACAAAGATATGATTGATAATTTTTAAACAATTATATAAAAATATGATCATCATACATGCTCTATTGAGAGAAATGTATAAAATTCTGATATCAATCCAAAACTCATTTCATTCAACCACATACATTAATTTGGTATATAAACATAGGTCATAAATTACTTGAATCAGCATATTAACATAAATATTACTAAAGATTAACAAGTGGGATGCGGGAAGTAAAGACTGTGTAAGAACCTCCGAAGGAGGCGGAGTTATAGCCAAAACAAGAATTTTACATTTTTTGGTTTTTGGCGATTTTGACTGTGTAATGACAACTTTTTGCCCCTATTCAACCATGACCCCCATGACATCCTCTACATGATAGGCTATTCAAACTGACTAGGCCTAAAATTCGAGTCACCCCCCAACTCATTTCTAGTCTTTACTTCCAATTAAATATTAAATTGCACAGTGCTAAACAACAATAATTAAAGTAGGTCTAAAATTGAGCTAACATGGTTTAGAACTTCAGTCTTTCTTGTCAAGATTCAATCTTTACTGGGACTTTTAAATTTAATTTTAAAATTAATTATGCACTCTCCTTTACATAATCGTTAAATACGCTTAGAATATTACCATGTTAGTTCTGTTAACATCTGACATTCTTCTTAGTAATGATAACATATTATTATAATATATTTATATATTAATTTGTTAATTAGCATTTCACACTACATTAAGGTGAAAGCGCCAGGCTGACCCGCGAAATTCAAAATTTTCTGTAAATACATACTCGTTACGGTCGCGAATCATATTTTGTTAACCATACAACCTAAGATTCATCTGCAAATTGCAAAAAACGTAAGAAAATTTGAATTTTGCGGGCCATCCTGGCGCTTTCACCTTAATACCTAATCGCTGGAAGAACTGACAACCGACGGGGAAGAAAGGTTTTCAAGTGGCAGCCTTGTCGGGTAGAATCATAAGCGAAGTGTAGAACGGTCCCCAACTAGATGAAGTGACAACCTGTTGAGACATGCAGACATGGAGGTAAGCCTGTGGTCAGCAGTGTTCCAGAGTGCAATGATGGCGATGATAACGGGCCGGATCTTACACAGAGGAGAATGGGTTTGAATGTCAGTTGAGGCGAGGGTTATGTAGGCAGTAGGCACCACTCTACCTATTTATGCCAATAAGCAGAAAACGCACCCCGGTGTTGGTCTGAAGTTCAAAGAAAACTATTATACTTAGAAGCTATGAGGCATTCTGTCTTGGTTTTCAGAGGTGACAACGCATCTGTAGCCTACTTTGTTTAACCGATTCGTTGCAGCACCGATTTTCGACAACTTTTAGCTGTGGCGGCGAACAAATATTTCAACACAGGCGCTAGATGAAACGCCTATTGTGCCATCAGCCATATGTAAAAATAATGTTCTTTTTTATGTTTTTTCACTTGTTTAGACCTAATTAAGTTTAGTTGACATCAAACATCAGTCACAAACAGAAGGATACTCGTTTTTAGTGGGTAACTACGTGTTTTCTTTGAAATTGAGAGTAAGTGACTTTTTTATGCAGAGATTACAAACCTTTCGTACTATTTTTTGTTTTATAAAGAAATCATTTATATAAGTAGGTACAGCTAAATCACCCTGAAAAACCTTTAATAAAAACTTGTTTTTTATTAAATTAATTTTCACCTAATAATAACATTTGTCAAATATCAAACAATTTGGAAAAAAATAAGGTTTATGATTCATTAATATTTACAAATGTTAAATATTATTTAATGTTATACAAATGTAAAAGTAAAGGTGATCTGAAAACGTCTAATTAGTAAGTATAGCAAAACAAGTGCTTTCAAAAGGAAAAAAAAGACGCTAAACAGTGGCGGATTGACAAGACTATTTATTAGCGAACTTTTTTATGCATGAACGGTTTCGAACTGTTTCAAGCAAAAATAAACCTTATACCATATCACAAGAGCACATGGTACTTCGTAGGTCTATTCGGCCATATGATAGTAATAAGACGGCAGTTCAACCATTTTAAGCAAAAGTAAACAATGAGACAAACGCATTGTTTTTTTTAACAGGAGACTTGTTTTCCAGAAATTTATTTACAACTTGAGTTTGTGAGCGATCGCAATGAGTGCTATTATTTGTTACTTATTAGACAATTTTTCCATAACATTATTTAAAACTCACAATGTAAAAATAATTAAAAATTTCAAATTTTCAAAATATCCAGAAACGAAGCTGTAGGTATGAACTACTTGCAAAATAATGAATATTTTGTTCTGGATAAATCTTCCAAAAACGCAATTTGAGCGAGTTATAACGATTTTTAAAAAGACACGAATTGCGTGTCATGCGCCACACACAAAAGTCATCGATGGCACGCCTGGCGTGCCATCCGCACTGAACCGGTTAAAGTTTGTTGCAGGTGTGTCTATCAACTGACAATAGTATGTGTAAAAACTTATCAACTTTTTTGTTGACCGTCAGACCTGTAAATACAAACCATTTTAGATTCATTTCTTTTTTTAAATTATATCTCACAAATTAGAATTTCCAATTGTACTTACAGCATGTTCATTTGTTTAAAGTACTAGATTTTATATTTTCTGTTCCATTCCATAATTCATAGGGCTTTTCAATGTAATATTTATCTAACCCACAGTAGTTACACATAGATTAGCTGTAGAAGATCAGACTGCTTTAGGCTTCTCTAAGTCTGTCCTTAATTTATCAAAGTCCTCTTTTACTTTTTTACATTCTCCTTGGAGATCCTCGAATTGGCTCTAAAAATTTAAACTTTTAAGGCAATGTCCACAAAAGTATTTTATGTAAAAACGCATTATTGCTTGACGTGAACGCACGCACTATTGAAATGACGTGAAAGAGTTATGCTGCAGTTATTGTGTTTGCAGCACATATGGGTTGGCTCAACCACCGGGCCACATTCTCCCAGAATACCAACGAAAGCAAGCAGCATAACGCTGCTGTGTACTTATGATGTGTTGACCGAATACACTTTCGTTGAAAATAAGTCATTTCATTTTAGTGCTCGAGGGTGATAACATATCTATATTCTGATTCTTAGTCAAGGATATATGTTATGTACAAGGGCCACAACATCGAATTACCATCATGTGGACTATGTATTCGTTTTTCATCACTACTTCGTACAAAAAGAAAATAAAATCATGTGTGCAGTTTCACACGCGGTAGAAGTGAAACCTTCAAATGAAATGGAATATAAAACAAAAATATAAGATAAACGTTTAATTTTATAGCAAATAAATGTAACAATCCTTATTTTTAAACATGTAGAGCTTAAATTTTAGTGTTTACAGTAAATCAAAAGAATATTTTCTTTCGCCTAAAATTGCTTTGTAATAGCAACGTTTACTTCATTGTATAGGTAAAGTCATTTTATCGAACAAAAATTAATTGACTCTCAAGGTGGTCCACAAATCGGTAAGATATGAAATCGTGGATAGTTAAGAATGGTTTGGATATGATACGAGGGTGGATTGAAAAGTACTTGGCCTAACACAGATCCATTCAATTCTAAAAATCAAATCTACCCACATTATTTAGTTCAGTTCAGACTAGTTCATTGTGTGAAGTTCGAAACGTGTGCGATAATTAGTTGTGATTTTATAAATTTATTAACAAAGTAATCGGACATAATTTCCGCGAATGGAGCAAATCGAGCAGCGTGCCGTCATTAAGTACCTCCATAAGAAGGGCTATCATCAAAAGCCATCCATGATGACATGGTCAGTACATTAGGCGATTGTGCTCTGTCATATTCATCCGTCAAAAAATGGATAGCAGAATTTAAGCGTGGTAGAGAGAGTGTGAAAGATGAACCCCGCTCTGGAAGGCCTTCGACGTCAACTACTGACGAAAATATTAAAAAAGTACTTGATTTAATAATGGGAGACCGCAGATTAAAAATTAGAGAGATAGCCGAGATTAGAGGCATCTCTTATGAACGAACTCAAAACATCATTGTCAACGAGTTGGGTTTCCACAAGGTGTCTGCGAGGTGGGTTCCGCGACTGCTTTCAGTTGAACAAAAAAGGACGCGATTGACTATTTCACGCGACTGTTTGGAGTTATTTGAAGCCGATGCAGATGTTTTTTTGAATCGTTTTGTTACTATGGACGAAACATGGGTTCATTACTGTACACCGGAAACAAAACAACAATCAAAACAGTGGAGAAGACCTGGTTCACCACCCCCTAAAAAGGCTAAGTCGATTTTGTCGGCAAATAAGGTGATGGCTTCAGTATTCTGGGACTCGAAAGGTGTGATTATGATTGATTATCTTGAAAGGGGTCAGAATATAAACTCTGATTACTACTGCACCTTACTACGTCGTTTACGAGAGGAAATAAAAGAAAAACGTCGAGGAATGCTCAGAAGAAAAGTCCTGTTTCATCAAGATAACGCCCGTGTTCACACGTCAGTACAGTCAATGGCTGAAATTCACAACTGTGGCTTTGAACTGTTACCGCATCCGCCGTATTCACCTGATCTGGCACCATCAGACTTCTTTCTGTTCCCTAACCTAAAAAAGCACTTGGGAGGTCAAAGATTTTCGACAAACGACGAGGTCAAAGCAGCTGTAGACGCATATTTTGACTCTAAGGAAGAATCATTTTTTTTCAACGGTCTAAATGCTTGGAAGGGGAGGTGGCAAAAGTGTATTGAACTTGATGGTGATTATGTAGAAAAATAAAAATATAACTGATTTAGTATTTGTTTATTTTCTTGGTTAGGCCGAGTACTTTTCAATCCACCCTCGTAGTTATTCAATATAATTAATTTTAAATTCATTTGATAGCAAATTTGTAATTTTTGAATTCCTTATACTAACATTTAAAAGTTATATTAGCCATTTTTAAAGCACCGCACACAGAGGATTGTAGTAATAGGAAACACTTTATACTGAACTAGCTTTTCTCTGGGTATATCACGCTCTGAGCCGAGCGACATGACACCTCGTTTATTCTCTTTCAATTCTCATCTGTTGGCTAGGCGTCGTACGCGCGCCAAGTCCAAAAACTGCAACTACTGACGATAACATCGCTAACATTCACCAAATGGTGCTAAACGACCGCCGAATTAAAATGAGAGAGATAGCAGAGGCTATGAAAATGTCCAAAGAACGTGTTTGTCACATATTAAATCAAGATTTGGGTATGAAAATGCTGTCAGCGCGTTGGGTGCCGTGTTTGCTCACGTTAGGCCAAATCGTGTACGAATGAACATTTCCAGCGTTCTGTTGGCGTAGTTTAGAAACAATAAAGCCGAGTATTGGCGCCGATTAATTACCGTAGATGAAACTTGGATAATAGCTCGAAACAAAAATAAAGTCAAAGCAGTGCAAAGGGGAAACCGGCTCCAAAGAAAAGCAAAAACTGTTTTTTCAGCTGGGAAAGTGATGGCCACTGTTTTTTGGGATAGTCATGGAGTTATCTTAATCGATTATCTTCAAAAATTATAAACCATTCCAGGAGCTTACTACTTGAGAAAACTGAAGGCAGAAATTGCAAAAAAATCGGCTACATTTGCAGAAAAGAATCCTGTTTCACCATAAGAACGCGCCGTCTTGCACCTCAGCGTTTGTCTGGCGAAAATCCACGAATTACGGTTTTTACTGCTTGATTATCCGCCTTACCAGATCTAGCCCCAAGCGACTTCTTTTTGTACCCTCATGTAAAAATTGCGCTCGGAGAACAGAGATTTTCGTCAAATGAGGAGGCAATGACCTTCGTGAACAATCATTTTGCAGAGAAAAACGAGGAGTACTATTTGGACGGGTTAGAGAGATGGGAGCATCGCTAAGAGAAGTGTGTAGAGTTACAAGGAGACTATATTAGATTATTAAAATAAGTTAAAACACTTCCCTTGTAAAGTCTTTGAAGCTTGAGCCTCTTTTACCCTTCCTACTACCATGCCCCCAAATTCGCCCTGCATGTGTAGAGAGCCATAAGAATAGAAAAGTTTTAAACTGACATGTTTTGATAAGTTCTACAAAGAAAGCAGCAGCCGACAAATTATTCTTAGTGTTTTATATGTATAATTTTTATTTTTTAAACTTATTAAAAATCAAGTGAACATTCAAATACAATTTTAGGACAGGAAAGCATTAGTAGTATTTAATAGTTAACAGCAGGGAAAAAGTATGCATCTCAATATTTGCATGTCAGCTTACTTAGATATACTTAATTCACATAATTATAAAGGTTACCTGACATATTACAGTTTGTTGTTTCATAGCTAAACAACTTTCCATAACATCTTTGAATCGCTCCTTGTCACCTTCATGAGCTTTTTGTGTTTCTGTTAACAGTCGATCAATACGGTTTTTATATTCTGTAACCACTAAAATACAAAAGGGTTTAAATACATAGGTACATTTAAAAATGATCTATTTAACCTAATACGGCCCAATATCTTTTATTTCACTATCAGCACTCATTTTAATTAATGCCCTACTACATGACTCTGAATTGAGATTTATTACAGCCAAATCCCTTACAAAGGACAGTTGATGTTGTAAAGTTTGAAACATTTACTACAATCTATGAGTGGAGCTTTGTTGTGAGTATTTTAGTATGGGTTAATACCAATGCACAAAAAACTCTTATCTATCACATGCCTGAAAAATGCAAAATAATCCCAAATAACCATTGTTTCTTATGACTTTTATTTTGTAATTCATTCTTAATTTTTTTTTAATCTTTTTTTATAAGAATACTAGCAATGCTATTATCATAACTGATATTCCCTTTAACCACTACTGGCAAGCTGAAAATGCTCGTAAAATAATAGTACTACGTACAGAAGTTGCACTCCTTTGATGATGTTGACTGCTTGCGGACGTTTTAATAGCCTACATAATTATTATTGATTAGATAAATCGCGCACGCAAGTTAAATAAAACTTTATCGCTGAGCGCGAGAGTCTGTTATACTTTGTATCTTTTCCCCTTCCTCTTCACGGTGGACTTTCCGTGGTTACTAAGGGATTCTAATACACTACGAAATGGCAAGTAAGTTACTTAGGTAAAGTACCTATTCTGGTTATATTTTCACTACTATGTGAGTTCTGTGATGCCCGACGCATGCAACTTGCAAGGCTATTCGTCGGGAATCGCAATACTTGGCTCGGAAGAAATAGTTAGATAAACTCCGCTATTGCCGGTCCCAAGTGGGTGAAAGAGAGTGGGTGAATCCGGTGGACTAACACACCCACCTGCACTAGGACCTGCGCAGTCGAGGGCCGTACGCGAGGATGAAGGAGTCCTGGAGGGTTGAGCCGATCGTCGCTAGGGTATATAGTGGCGAGAGGCAACACGTCCTCTTTGATCCGGATTTCAAGCTAAACGGTGGCCCTATCTGTTAGCCACAGATAGGGAAATGGCCAAGTGCCCCGTCAGAGGGTCGCAGGCGAGGGATGTGGGGGCTGCCTAGTTTTCCTGAAAAGGGGCTGGGTGGTGGTAAAGGCCATGCTGTCGGAGCAAGTGATAGCTTATTCGGGTAGTTGGGATGGGCCTTGTCAGCCCCATCTACCAGCTGGATCAAGCTCCCGATGTCGCGCTGTGAGCCAACTTCGCGTCCCTATATTCTCCCGGTAATCTATCCCTGCAGGCAGTAGCGTAAAGGCCAAAAAGAAGAATAAGAAGCAGCGGCAAAAAGGCCGAAGAAAACAAGCCGCGCTGGCTGCTTCTAAAACTAAAACCAAGGAGGCTGGGCAAGCTACTGCGACTGGGGTGCTTGGGGCTGGAAGCAGTAGCCGCGCTGAAACTGGGAAGGATAAAAATCCAGCCCAAGTGGAAGTCCCGGCCGCGGGGACCAGCTCTAAGATATCCACCAGGAAGTAGCGTCCTGGGAAGAAGGAAAGAGCAGCCAAAAGGACGCTGGAAGAGTCCACCTCGCCGAGAAGCGAGCACAAAAAAGTGCGACTCGAACAGCAACCAAGCTGTTGCAACCAGGCTGCAAGAACAATCTACGCTTCCACTGCTAAAGCAGATTTGGGTGTGGCCTTAACGTGTGCGCATTTAGGTCACATAACGAAGGAAGTAGCTGACGACATCCTCGTGGCAATACAGAGAAAGATGATCAGCGAGGCCTGGAGTAGCCAGGACCCTGATGTGTCGGGCCCAGTTTTTAGAGGCAAACCCGTTTACACGGAGGGTGTCCTGAAGCTGTGACGTGCGACGATCAGAAGGCTCTGGATTGGTTAAAGGGGAATATTGCTACCCTCGACCTTAAATCCAACACCTCGCTGAACATAGATATAAAAAAAGTAGGAGAAACCACAAAGAGTCAAATGTGGTATCCTTATGCCTGATGCCCAGGGAGCCTTGAAAGACTCACGCGACATAGGTCGTGTGCTGGCGTACCAGAACCGCTGGGTTAACATTAGGTGCTGGCTGCTACTCAAGGCAGATAAGCAGACGGACGGGTGGTCCCTCGTTGTTTCGGTGCTGGAGGATCATATCCCGACCCTGATGAAAGCCAGGCGTCGTCTCACATGTGTATGTGGCGCGGTATACGTAAAATCCCGGGATCGTGGAGGTAAATTCTTTGACACTCCACCAAGCAAAGATGCAGAAAACAGATCAGACACGCGATCAATGATGGCGTGCCCTTCGTCCAAAGCTAGTCTAGTGCGGGCAAACCTCCACCACAGCGAAACTGCGTCGGCTCAATTACGCAAGTGGTTGGAGGCTCAAAGGACGGCCATAGCCTTAATTGAGAAGCCGTAGGTTGGGGCTGGTAAAATCAAAGGCCTGTAGCCAGTACCACTGTATGTCTAGGTTCCTTCATAGATATAAAGGGTACTTTTGACAGAACAAACTTCTCCAGCATAAAAGGTGCACTTAGTAGATATAAAGTTGAACCGGCACTGATTGACTGGATAGTAAACATGCTCAGTACACAAATAATAAAGTTTGCTTTTTTTATGAGATAGGATAACAAACGAGCACACAATCCACCTGATGGTAAGTGGTTACTGTGGCCCATAGACATCTATATCTATCCTCGTTTGCGAATCAAAATGCACATGCGTTGTCACCCGTGAGGACTAAGATGGAATGCCTCTTTTCCAGTAAAACGGGTCTCCGGTTCTTTACACTCACCATACGAAACACAGCAGTGTTAAGCTGCTATATTACGCTGGAATACTGTGAGTGCGTGGTCCTTCCCCGGTCGTACCGACCCATTCGTGTTACAACTATACCAGGAATATAGCTGCAGCATGGCTCTACCACGTAACAAAGATTCCTTTAATCAATTATTCACACACGCAAAATACGCGCATAGCCGTGGATTTGCGGAAAACTGCCCATCGTAGACAAAACTAACTAAACTAAAGTAATAGGTAGATAGTGTAAATAACAAATAAACCTGAAATACGTTTCATATTCTATTTAGTTAAAAATCTTGTAAACAAAGTTTTAATTTCTGTATTTTGTGTTATTATAACTTAAAATACTTTAATTACAATAGACAAGAGTAGGTATGTAAGTAGGTACTTGGATAGTGAAGTAAATTTCGACTAAGTTTTTAATAAAGTACTTAGGTATTACTTCTGTATTTAAATCATTACTTAATTCTTTTTTTATAAGCAAAAATAAATTCACCTTTCATTATCCTTCAGTAGCTTTTTATCAATATTATATTATTTTTAAATTATATTAATACTTTTTCAACTATTTTATCCTACAATTAAATATACTAAACATTAAACAAAAACTATTTCAACAAGTATTTATAAAAAAACTATTAATAATATATTAAAAACTTTAACTTTCAATTACCTAGAATACGCTAGCCATAGGTAATATACTAAATAGAGGAGCTAGCCCCGACTGTATATGTAGACTGGGGCGCCACGCAATTGTAGGTAATTATTTCACATAGGTAGCAAGAGTGACAGAGCCCTGAGAGTAGTCGAATGGGGGATTCGATGAGGTAATTGAAAATATAATGAAAGAAAGTAAAGTATTACTCAGACATTGCCTTACATCTGGCTATCTATTGTGGGAGGAAGAGTTTTACAAACAAGTAGATGCTGTTGCGATGGGCTCACCGGTATCTCCAATTGTCGCCGATATTTTCATGGAGGACTTTGAGGAGAAAGCCCTGCTTACTGCACCAGTAACTCCAAGTTTCTACAAGCGGTACGTAGACGATACTTTCACAATTTTACAATCAGACAAATTAACTGCATTTTTAGAACATCTTAATTCCATAAACTCTAAAATTCAATTTACTATGGAGTTAGAGGCAGTTAATTCTTTAGCTTTCCTAGATGTGTTAGTCATTCGAAATCGTAATAACACCATAGGTCACACTGTGTATAGAAAAAAGACCCATATAAACCGATATATAAACGGTGAATCCCACCATCATCCTTCACAGTTAGCTACCGTGGGCAAATCTTTGTCACAGAGAGCACGAGGGATCTGTGACAGCAAACACCTGGCCGCCGAGCTTAGCACGTCAAGCAGGTTCTGCACTACAATAAGCTTCGGGTTCCGCGCCTACGTCACAGTGAACGAGTAAAGCCGGCCACAGTCGAGCGTGTGCCTGCTGTACTACCATATGTCAGAGGTGTCACAGACAAGATTGGCTACATCTTGAAGCGAGCTTCTATTAGAACATTCTTTAAGCCGCCAAAGAAGATTACTCAGTTCTTACCATCCGTCAAGTGCAATATTCCTCTACAAGATGCAGGAATGTACAAGCTTGATTGAGAGTGTGGTCTCTCCTATATAGGACAAACAAAACGATCAACAAAAACTCGCGTAAAAGAACACATAGCTGACGTGAAGCACCAGCGTTCCGGGAAGTCTGCAGTTTGTAATCATATCCTTGACGGCCCCCGCCATTACATTAGATTTAATAAACCACAAATTCTCGCGAAAGAACATCGATTCCTGCCAAGGATGATACGTGAGACTATTGAAATTAAAAAACATCCTAATTTCAATAGAGAGGGAGGCTGGGTACTACCACCTGCTAGGGATCCTATAATTCATAAAATTAAAACTAAACCCAAGCATACCACTGCAAGACTCCAAGACACAGTAAGTTCATTCTGTGTAGATCGGACCAAAATTAATAATTAAAAGCTGAAGGTACTCCGAGTTAACTCTGACATCGGGAAGTCAGTCACCTCAGTCCCCCGTGACCATGGTTGCTGGAAAGTAACCGAAACTTCGGGAACGCGACAAAATCCGTAAAAATTAGTTAGTAGTATTCAATGAAAGGAAGTAGCTCGAAAAACCGATAACCGATGAGGAAGGTTTTCGAGGCAGTTCCTTACCGGTATGCGGAGAGTAAGGCTTCCTGTAGGGTCAACTCGGCGAA